ACAAAGGTCTTGGAGTGAATAGAGATACAAGGAAGATATCCAAACGTAATAAAGGCTAAATGGAAACTCAAAACAATCCCATTGAAATCTGTAACAAGACAAGGCTGTCCTCCCTTTCCATATCCATTAAAGTTCTAGCTATAGCAATAAGAAAACAAAAGGAGATCAAATGGATACAAATTGGAAAAGATGTCAAACTCTTGGTATTTGCTGATTATATTATAGTTTACATAAGCTACCCCCAAAATTACAGAGAGCTTCTACAACTGATAAACACCTTCAATTATGTAACAGGATACAAGATTAACTAAAAAAAAATCAGCAGTCCTCCTATATACAGATGACAAATGGGCTGAGAAGGACATCAGTGAAACATCACCATTTACAATAGGCTCAAATAACATTCTATTAATGTGTGTATGTCCATTTGGTTTTGCCTTGCCAGAGATGCCTGACCCTCTTTGTTTCTCAGTAGCTATATGGCATCCCTTTTGACTTACTCACTGGCATCCTTTTCACATAATACTCCTAGTCTGGTGGCCCTGCCTATACCTCCTGCGTAGCTACAACCTGTCTATCCATTGGCTGAAATAATTTGATTCATCAATCAATAAGGAAAACATATATTCACAGCATACAGAAGGATATATCCCATCAGACTTGGAGGGGAAGAAGTATTAGTAAATGTATTCAGTTGGTTTTTCTTTTTCTTTCTTTCTTTCAGTAGATATTAGCACTTTTATTTAATTATTTTTATCTTTTATAAATTTTATACATTTTTATTTTTAAATTTAAATTAGAAAAAGGTTGCTTCACATGTCAATCCCAGGTCCCTCTCACTATCCCTCCCATCCTCCCACACCCTCCCACCAACCCCCCATTATCCCCTCATTTCCCCAGGGAGGGTGCGGCCCTCCATGAGGGTGTCTGTAGTCTGGCATTTCATCCAGGGCAGGGCCTAGACCCTCCCCGAAGAGTCCAGGGTGAGAGTGCATCTCTCATTGTTGGATGGACACTGGACATCCAAAGTCCATTTGTATGCCCGGGATAAATAACGATCTACTACCCAAGGCTGAATAGATTGCTTAGGCCTCCTCATTGACACCCACATTCAGAGGGTCTTGATCAGTCTGATGCTAGATTCCTAGCCATCAGTCTGGGATTCGAGAGGTAAGCCTTGTCAGGTCAGTTGTTTCTGTGGGTTAAACCAGCCCAGCCTTAAACTGCTCATCAGTCCTCCCTCTCTGTCACTGGCTTCCTTGAGTTCAGCTCAGTGTTTGCTGTGGGAGTCTGCCTCTGCTTCCATCAGCCATTGAATGAATGTTCTGTTTCCCAGACTGTCTGGCCATAGGATTGTAGGCTGGCACTCCCCAGATCTATGACTAAAATCCATATATGAGAGAGTACATACCATGTTTGTCTTTTTGTGACTTGGTTATCACACTCAGGATGGTTTCTTCTAGTGCCATCCATTTGCCTGCAAACTTCAGGATTCCATTGTTTTTTTTTCTGCTGAATAGTACTTCACTGTGTAAATGTACCACATTTTCTCTATCCACTCTTCGATTGAGGGACATCTAGGTTGCTTCCATTATAAATAATGCTGCTATGAACATAGTGGAACAGATGTCCTTGTTGTATGAATGTGAGTCTTTTGGATACATGCCTAAGAGTGGAATTGCTGGGTCTTGTGGTAGGCTTATTCCCATTTTTCTGAGGAATCTCCATACTGATTTCCAAAGTGGGTGTATGAGTTGGAACTCCCACCAGCAATGGAGGAGTGTTTCCCTTTCTCTACAACCTTTCCAGCATAAACTGTTGTTGGTGTTTTTGATTTTAGCTATTCTGACAGGAGTAAGATGGTATCTCAGAGGTGTTTTGATTTGCATTTCCCTAATGGCTAAGGATGTTGAGCACTTTCTCAAGTGCCTCTTAGCCATTTTAGACTCCTCTATTGAGAATTCTCTGTTTAATTCTGTAGCCCACATTTTAATTGGATCCTTTCGTGTTTTGTAGACTTGCTTCTTGAGTTCTTTGTAAATTTTGGCAATCAGACCTCTGTCAGATGTGGGGTTAGTGAATATCTTTTCCCAATCTGTGAGGTGCCTTTTTGTCTTGCTGACTGTGTCCTTTGCCTTACAGAAGCTTCTCAGTTTCAGGAGGTCCCATTTGTTAATTGTTGACCTCACTGTCTGTGCTAGTAGTGTTATGTTCAGGAAGCAGTCTCCTGTACCAATTCGTTCAAGGGTACCACCCACTTTTTCTACTAAGTGTTTCAGTGTGGCTGGATTTATGTTGAGGTCTTTGATCCATTTGGACTTAAGTTTTGTGCATGGCGATATACATGGATCTATCCACATTCTTTTACATGCCAGCCTCCAGTTATGCCAGCACCATTTGTTTAAGATTCTTTCTTTTCTCCATTGTATATTTTTAGCTTCTTTGTCAAATATCAGATGTTCATACATGTGTGGGTTAATATGAGGGTGTTCAATTTGATTCCATTGGTCTACCTGTCTATTTTTGTGCCAATATCAAGCTGTTTTCAGGAATACAGCTCTATAATAGAGCCTGAAGTCAGGAATGGTGAGGCCTCCAGACGTTGCTTTGTTGAGTAAGGTTGTTTTTGCTATCCTGGGTCTTTTGTTTTTCCAAACAAAATTGATTATTGTTCTTTCAAGGTCTGTGAAGAATTGTGCTGGTATTTTAATGGTGATTGCATTGAACCTGTAGATTGCTTTTGGCAGGATTGCCATTTTTACTACGTTAATCCTACCTATCCAAGAGCATGGGAGATCTTTCCATTTTCTGATATCTTCTTTAATTTCTTTCTTTAAAGACTCAAAGTTCTTGTGATACAGGTCTTTCATTTGTTTAGTTAGCTTTACCCCAGGGTATTTTATGTTGTTTGTGGCAATTGTAAAGGGTGATGTTTGTATGATTTCTTTCTCAGCCCTATTATTGTCTGTATATATTGGACTACTGTTTTTCTTGAGTTGATCTTGAATCCTGCCACTTTAATAAAAGTGGCAGAGTTTTTGGATCGCGTATGTAAACTATCATATCATCTGCAAATAGTGAAAGTTTGACTTCTTCCTTTTCCAATTTGTATTCCCTTGATCTCCTTTTGTTGTCGTATGACTCTAGCTAGAACTTATAGTATAATATTGAAACGGTATGGAGAGAGTGGACAGCCTTGTCTTGTTCCTGATTTTAGTAGAATTGCGTTGAGTTTCTGTACATTTAGTTTGATGTTGGTTGTTGGTTTGCTGTATATAGCTTTTATTATGTTTACATATGTTCCTGTTATCCCAGATCTCTCCAAGACCTTTATCATGAAGGGGTGTTGAATTTTGTCAAAGGCTTTTTCTGCATCTAGTGAGATGATCATGCGGTTTTTATTTTTCAGCTTGTTTATATGGTGGATTACATTGATGGATTTTCATATGTTGAACCATCCCTGCATCCATGAAACCTAATTGATCATGGTGAATGATTGTTTTGATGTGCTTTTGGATCCGATTTGCCAGTATTTTATTGAGTATTTTTGCATCAATGCTCATAAGGGATATTGGTCTGAAGTTCTCTTTCTTAGTTGTGTCTTTGTGTGGCTTGGGGATCAAGGTTATTGAAGCCTAGTAGAAAGAGTTTGGCAAAGACCCAGGGCTCTGTCTTTTCATCACTTTGGCTAGGATATTTTGTTATAAAATATCACCAGATGCCAAAAAACATTGCAATCATTCTGTATCCTGAAAACCAATATCTGGCTGAGATTTATTTCTTTGTAAAAAAAATAAACACATCCATCTGTTTATCATATCCCAAAATGTGTTTGTATAAACAGTATAGGACAGTCAATGAAATCATACCAAGATCAAGCTTGACATTATTTATTTAACTATACCCTTTGCTTAAATAAGATGAATACTCATACCCATGTATTAACCCATTAATCAAAGTATGACTCAGTTATTATTAAAGAAAAGGAACCTCTTTTGAAGTAGTCATTGGTCCTGTTGACTTTTTGATTAACAATAAGATAAGAAAAATTTAGAGGTCCTCAATCTGCTCACATAATTTCCAAAAATGTGTCAAGTAAAAACAAATGTTTGCCCATGGAGAGCCTCACCCTCCCTGGGGAAATGAGGGGATATTGGAGGGATTGGTGGGAGGGCATGGGAGGAGGGGAGGGAAAGGGAGAGGGACCTGGAATTGACATGTGAAGCAACCTTGTTTCTAATTTAAATTTAAATAAAAAATAAGAGTTTGCAATAAAACTTTTCTAGTTTATAAAAAAGTATGTTTCTAAATATTTTTGTTCATTCATGTAGTTTCAAAGTTGTGTGTGTGTGTGTGTGTGTGTGTGTGTGTGTGTGTGCGTGTGCGCGCGCGCACCCACAAATGCAAAGATGCATATGTGCTCACAACTAGAGGTGATAACATGGTGGAAATCTAAGAAACCCTAAGCATATAGTTCCTGTTTCAAATTTTATGCCAGAGACAGAAGGTGGCTAAATGTTCAGTGAGAGGATGAGTCATGGATGCAAGATTTGCAGGACTGTTCTTTCTTATGGAGTAATCAGAGTTACTTGAAAATGATTATACACTTGGTCTACAGTCCTGAATATATGTGCCCAAAATATGACTTGCAAACATTAAAATTTTGACTTCCATGCAATATAAAATGGATCTCAAAGTATCTCTTACTTTCATATTTTAACTATTAATATTTTCATCATTTCTCAGTGTAATGCCACACCTTTGATGCACTCTTTGTCCCTGTGTCTCAGTAGGTCTTTCTGGCATGTCCGCCATTACCTAAACTTCTACATTCCTTAATGTGATTATCCACTCTTTAGTGTGTCTGTAAATTCATGTGTGAGTCAGGGAAGGCACTGCCCTTAGCTCTCAAGTGTTATACATCTCATTTTGCTGTAAGTAGTTCTGAAAATTATAAACCATGAATTGAACGATTTTTTTCTTGCTCTTTTTATCAAAAGACAAAGACAGGAGTTTGCTTGCTACAAGATGATAATCAGGAACCTTTTAAAGTCCGGTTGCATCTTGCCAGAGACCTTCTGATGCTACAGGAGCAAGATGTGCTGTGTGTTTCTGGTGAGCCTTTCTATTCTGGTGTAAGTATCTCTTCCATTGGTATTTTCTGCTTGTGTTTTGATGATTGAATTGCTTCTTCATTGAAAATGTTGAACATGTTTTCTCTTACTTTGGAACTTGTCAATGATCCTGTAGATAATTTGTGTTTACACTGCTCATTATGCCATGCAGGCCCCCTCTACTTTTTGGTTTTTCCAGGCAGGATTTCTCTGTGTATCTTTGGAGTCTATCCTGGCACTCGCTCTGTAGACCAGGCTCACAGAGCTCTGTCTGCCTCTACCTCCCATGTTTTGGAATTAAAGGCATGTGCCACCAATGCCCAGTTGCTATGCCCCTTTTTGAGGACACTGATTATGTCATGAAACACTATAGACCTTCTCACTTTGTCTACTCAGTCCTTGCTGTAATATGGCATGCAATGCTATCTCTATTTTCTGATTATGAGAGAGAACAGAGCTGATTTTCAGTTATGCAACCTAAGACCCTCTGTCATGGTCTTATTATGATAATGCAACTTTCTTGTTTGGTGTTGATTGTGATGATAGACATCACCTTCCAGTGTCCTTGCAGAGAGAGGGTCAAGGTAGTACTATCTGAATTCAATGTGAATTATTGTCTCCCTAGACTGTATGAGAACAAGTCTGTAGACATCCAGGATAAAATTAGAACAATTAGCAATGGCCATTTACTGTTCTAACAGATGTGTGATGTTCTGTTGAATCCAACCTCATGAAAAAGCCAAAAACATAAATTGTTTCATAAAGTCAATTTGTATACCTTTTAGTAAAACATCACTCTGTGGAAGATATCCTTAGCTGGCATTGCATTTAATTTGATAAAATGTCAGTCATAAATCAATACAAGTTGTATAGTTTTTGATTGATTGTGTTCCATTACTGAAAATACCATCACATCCAGAATAGGACTGAACAAGGCCCCCTGAATGTGGATGTCAGTTGGGGGCCAGGGCAGTCTATAGGGTCTCTAGCAGTGAAACTGGTATTTCACTAGTGCATGAATGGACTTTGGGAGCCCTTTACCTATGGAGGGATACTCTCTCAGCCTAGACACATGGGGGAGGGCCTAGGCCATGCTCCAAATGATATGACAGACTTTGATGATCCTCCTTGGGAGGCTTCACCCTCCCTGGTGAGTAGATGAGGGGTGGAGGTTGGTGGGGGACACAGGAGGACAGGAGGGAGAGGGAACTGGGATTGCTAAGTAAAATAAGATTGTTTTAATTTAAATTGTATGTATGGAAATTTCCAGTCAAAACAGCTAAAACACATAGCTCCACAAGCTTTTCCATGTGAATTGCAATATAAACTAATTAGAGATGCCAAAAAGATTTCAGATTTAAGGAGAAGTTACTCATAGTAATGTTGATAAATGCAAAAGAAGATATTTGGAAAATTAATTAACCATGTATAAGAAATACTTCCAGCAAAAATAATGTTTCTGGTTATTTAAGAATGAAATAAGTTGAGAATCAGCATGAATCTCATTTTGTCTGAAGTCTCTTCTGAGTGTTCCAGCAGAGACAGAAATTCAGAATGTGGGTACAGAATATGCTATTTGTAAGGGAGCAAGCAGAACTGATGTATTTGTACATTTATGATTTGTTACAGAGAAAACTCTAGGAAGTCTACAACAGATGGACAACTCAGAAATTTGCAACACTTAGGGAAAAAAGAAGTGTCTCAAGACAGATATATTTCCATAGCTAGCAACAAGCAATTAGAAAATGAAACAAAAATGTAATCTACAATTTACCAAACTAAAATTTATTTGAAGATGAATTTGGCATGTTCATAATGTCTATCCCAAAGGCTTCAGACCATAGCAAATATTAATTACTGAAATAGGAAATGGAAGAAAAATAACAGTGACCAAAATGAATTAGAATTACATATTGAGCAGATATTCTCCCCAGTACTCCAAATTACACTAAGGTAGAACATATTTTGGTATCTACGTATAAATACAAAATGTTTATGATAGTCAAAATCATCTAAACAAGGACAAAAATATTGTAATGCTTATAACTTACTGATTTCTAAACCAATGATGAAGTTCTCCTATTAAATACAATATAAGATTCCCTAAGTTAGTAGTACATATTATATAATCTAGACATAGGATCATGCTTTTCTGCTCAGCTAACCTTCTTATAAATTATTATGCATAGTATGAGACCTACTCCTGTATCCATTTCTAAGTGTATTGTTAAGTGCCAGAGTATATTTACATTGTAAAACTAATGGTAATATCTACTCCAAAAGTTTTTCTTTTGTTTTTTCGAGACAGGGTTTCTCTGTGTAACTTTGGAGTCTATCCTGGCACTAGTTCTGTAGACCAGGCTGGCCTCGAACTCACAGAGATCCACCTGCCTCCCAAGTGCTGGGATTAAAGGCATGTGTCACCAACGCCTGGCTCAAAAATTTTTTAATCATGCTACACTGAAACTGTGTACCAAGTCTAACCTCCAATGTCCTCTTCCTCTATGTCACTGATGACCACTCTTAGACCTTTTGTTTAGTGACAATTCTAAGCTAATCACACACAGTCACTATCTTACAATGTTTTATTTTGTTTATTTTGGTGATTTCTCTCAGCTTAATGTCTTTAGTATTCATCCATATTGAAACATGCATAAGAATTTCTTTCTTTTACAAGGTAAAACAGAATTCCATAGTGAGAACACACAACATTTTACTTATTTGTGCACCAAATTATGGGCTTTCAGATTGCTTCAAACTTTTGATACCCATTAAAAATGCTTCCATTAACATACAGGAGATACCTTGGCTACCACAAGTCAATTTTTTATGTGTAGCCTTATGTAAACAATGTCAAAATTGCTTGATGAAACAATACTAATATTTCTTCTTTGCCTATACCTTAAGGGATCACATCATAGAGCCATAATGTTAAATATAAGCTACGATACCTTATATTTAAAAAATTGATAATCAAGCAATTTTTCCACACATTGTAGAGATCAGGGATAACAAGTTCATACCTGAATATAGTAAAAGCAATATACAGTAAACCAACAGCTAACATCAAACTAAATGGAGAGAAACTCAACGCAATTCCTCTAAAATCAGGAACAAGACAAGGCTGTCCACTCTCTCCATACCTTTTCAATATTATACTTTAAGTTCTAGCTACAGCAATAAGACAACAAAAGGAGATCAAGGGGATACAAATAGGAAAAGAAGAAGTCAAGCTTTCACTATTTGCAGATGATATGATAGTTTATATAAGTGACCCAAAAAACTCCTCAAGAAAACTCCTAGAGCTGATAAACACCTTCAGCAAAGTGGCAGGATACAAGGTAAACTCAAAAAATCAGTGGCCCTATTATATACAAACGATGAAGTGACTGAGAACGAAATCAGAGAAACCTCACCCTTTACAATAGCCATAAACAGCATCAGAAGCATTCTTTATTTTATGATTTGCCTCATGTCCCTATAAACTCATTGCTATGCTAACCATATATGGCTTTAATTTTTCTATCTGTCCTTCTGTACCTACATACGCTCAATCTACTTTGCACTTTGTTTTACATGAGATAAAGTTTTTTTACATGAGATAAAGTTTGAATCTCTAGAAGTTGAACATTTGCCTAATGCAGAAACCAATTTGGATGCCGAAATTTTTGTGAAATTTTTGTTACAACTGCAGTTGTGTGTCTTAAACCCTTAAATTCGATCCCATTTATTTGTAGTTTCAGCTTTGGTATCTGATCATTTATAGCAGTTTTCCAAAATACTTTTTTTTTGTTGTCTCTCCTGAACCTTTTGTTGAAGCCATGCTGGGTTGTATTCTATCCCGAGCACGGTAGTTTTTAACAACAGGTAGTCAGTCTTTTAATTGTTCTGTGGATGAGCTTCTTCAGCATTGACTTTGAATGATTGAATCAAAATTTGATATTGGGGCCTGTAGGAGGATCCTCCGGTAATTCCACAACAGCAAAGATTACCTTGCTTGTCCCTTGTTGATATGCATTCCTCATTCCAGGGCCAGCCTTTGCCTCACCTTCTCCATACTCCAGAAGGCTGAAGTTTCTGTTTGGATTATATCTAGAAAAAAATATTGTTTCTAGGAACAACTTGCCTAGAATCCCTTTTCAAATGATGTTGTTTACCACAACATCTGACAATTTCACTTTTCTTAAAAATTTTAGAAACCACTTCTCCTTTCCAAGTGTGAGATCCAATATCAGCTATATTTCAAATTCATTTACCTATTTGTATTGATCTTGCCTTTTAAAAAATCATGCCTTTGCATTCTGAATTATAAGTTTCAAAAACCAAAGATTCAATTGATATTTGTCTACCATCTGGATTTGATATTGTTCTATTTACAATTGAAGTCAATATTTGTAAAACATCAGTGAAAGCCTTTTGGGGAGCCTAATTTAACTTCAGTAAATGAAACAATCCTTCCTCCTGATTGTTTAACCTTTTCCCTGCCATTCAAAGCTGGTACACAGCATAAAGCCAAAGTGTGATCCTCAAATTCAAACTGTTTGCAAATCAGCTGACTGACCTTTACTGAGAAGCTGGTCTTGAGAAAGTTCAATACCTCTATCCCCACTTCATTCTTCTATGACCCTAGATTCCTCTCTGCACCATATTTTTCTTTGTAACTGAGGATCAACTTCAAATACTGCTGTACTTAATTGTTTCCAATCTTGTGGCCCAGAAAATCTAACATCTGCTTTGTAGAGGCTGATTGCATACCACAGGACATTATTGCTTCCTTTAGTTTCTTCAAAAGAATCATTTCTACCAAATCCTCCATAACTTCTGCAATAGCCCTGGGGGTGCCTATCATCTCATGGTCATTTTTTAGTGGTAACTGAACATGTTATATCATTTTTCTAATAACCTTAGGCCATACCTCTTCAGTTTCATAATTCAATGATACAGTTGGTTTTGCTCTAAATTCCTCAGTCTGTGTCTGGGTATTTTTCTTATTTTCATTAGCACGTCTTTCTAAGGCTACA